CGGGTGGATCCCATCCGGCCCCATAGACTTGTGAGCGTCCAGGTGGCGTAGCAGGTCATTGACTGCTTCCTCTTGGATTATGGGGGGTTCATCCTGCTCGCCATCCCTGTCTTCCAGGGGAAAACTTCCTACTTTCATAAAAGCCTTGACTGTAGCATCCTCATGGCTGTTGGCTACAACATCAGCAATTACAGTTCCCAAGGCATCACACTAGCAAATCTTGATACCACAAAAGGTTTCCTCTGCTTCCCTATTGCTTTAGCATCATGGCAGGAGGCTAAAAAACCCTGTGTGAAAAGATTATATTCCAAACAGATCTGAACTGAACAAAGGAAAAAACAAACAAAGAAAAAGTGTCAACCATTTGAAGGGGACCATCTCCAGAGCAGAAAAGCCCCATTCAAAAAAACCCCATTGTTATGTAAACAGGCCTCCAAGCACAGCACTCCTGAAGTCCAACGCCAACCAGGTAGAACAATATAACAGGCACTGAGAAATTCTAGAAATACTGGATTTATTTTTTTTTTAATATTTTTCAAGACTTGTGACTGTCTTCCACACCTCGATCCTTTCTCCACTATCTTTCCATTTTCCAGCCTCTTCTGAAGAGGGGGAAGGATGCATTACACACACAATTTGAAATGAGGCAATAGCACACACAAGTTGGTCAGATGTTATCATGCTTCCATCTTGGTTGTGCTCTGCCTCAAGCTGAATTTTGCATGCTTCTTCATCCATCGCTTTCAAGCTAGGCTTTTAAGACTTCCAAGATGCAACATGTTCTCAAGCAAAAGTGTGTAAACTCACAGACACAATGAAGACCTGATCTTAATTATAACTTCTAGGAAATCGCTGCAGTAAAAATATTGCTATTAATATAGCATCAATAGCATAGCAGATGAGTTCCTGGGGAGGGAACAGAGGCGTTAAAACTGCAGCAACAGAAACATATGGTTTAACTAAGAGCAGCAAGATGCTCTCAATCCTACAGTATTATTAATCTGCATGAGAGACTAAGACCCCTCACATTCACTTACAGAAGCCAAAAATAGAGAAGGGAAAAGACTCCAACAATATTGCTGGAGTTTATTTTCCACAGCAGCATTTCTCTTCCTGCCTTTTCCCACCAGAAGACTATAAGGCTTAGTTTCACATAACAAGGCACTATGGCTTTCTTTACCAACCACAAAAATACTTGCTTCTTTTCCTGAAATAAGTATTCGAACAAGTATTAGAACTAGAGCAAAACAACTGCTCATCCCACAACGTACCCAACGTACAAATTGCCCATTTTAAATATTCACCATGTTATGCCACTGTAGTTCTTTTCAGAGCAGATTCTTTTTAGCAGTCCCTTGGTAAAGTCAGAAAATATTAACATGCAGATTGCATCAATTAAGAGCAATAATTTGTTAAAAATCAAAGCCCAGTAAAATGGCCACAAACACAATGATGCATTCAATCCTTGGTACTAGCAACAGTATTAGTTATGACATAGAAAGAGCCTTCATACTGAATTTAGTTTTGAAGTTTAATAACTTTACCAGAAAATTGTCTGCAACTGAGTTTCTCATACCCAGCTCTGGGAAAGCTCCTTTGCCTGTCTACATGCTGTGCTCCTCTTCTAGTCAAAAGAAAACAAACATACATTTTTTTGAAAACTACATCCTACTTTTTCCAGGCATAAAGAGTATTATCAGTTGCTTTTCAGTTTCGATTAATGGCTTGCAATTCAGCTGTCAAGCCAGGCATGGATGTAATCCTCAATGAAAAATCTGCTACATCTCGGGCCAGGAAACTTAATCCAGAACTTCTTTCACTAAACCTCATATTCCTTTCACGTGGACTTCAGTGACAGAAGGACAGCAGCCACAGGTAAAAGGTGAATTTAGCATAGCCAAGTATGTGCAGGTTATTATAGGCAGTCCCATGCCTATGAAGTATGTATATACACTCAGTTCCTGGTCCGCCTTCACTGCATTCGTTCTGATCCATGCAGATTACTGAACTTCCTTTGCAGATCAACCAGTCAACCGTTGATTCACTGTTATATCAACAGAGAATACACACGTACCTTAGTCTGAACCTAACACAGCTCTCTTCTGAATTTCTGGAGAGGGAGAGTAGCAATTTGCCATTTTAAATCCTCCAGATGACACAAGACAGAACTACCTTTCCTCTGACTTCATACTCCAGGCCTGCCTTCCCAGGACTTGTTTGTTTGTTCTTCCATCACAGAAGCAACATACTAAAAACGCTTTTTGAAATCTCCTAGCCTAGCTCAAAGCACTGAGGTGGAATCACGTACTCCTACCTCACCTCCAGCAGTGGTTTGTTTCACTCGAGATTTCATTAAGAATAGGCTAGAGACTGCACAAGCTCTTTAAATAGTCTGTCTGACAAACCCCACAATTAGGTCTAAATCTTCTCTGCAGAAATCAAGTTTGCATTTTCTTGTTCTTATTCTATTAGATAGGGACAACAAGAAAATTAAAACAAGCAGATGTCCACCTTCCTCCATAATTTACAAAGATCTCCGCTAGAAAGCCAGAATGTATGTGCTCTCCCTCCTGTTTTCTCTTGTAGTCTAGATACACCCTCCTTATTTCCAGAGAAGTCATAGTTTGTAAACCTCTGGACCAATCCTGACATCCTCCTCTGGAATTTCTGCAGCGGTTTTTTTGTTGCCTTCAAAAGAAATCTCGTACTCTGGCTGAGACCTCACTAGTACACAAATAAAATGGTTACTCTAATAACTACTTCTTGTTAAGCCACGGCAGAAAATGAATCATTCTGTAGTAGCACCAACATCATCAGCTCATTCAGGCTGAAAGAGCGAGCTTTTTTTTCTTTTATTACAAAGGAGTTATATCCTGCCCTGTAATTGTATATTAAATGCAAAAATGCATTCTAGAGAATTTCACCTTTCTGGTTTTGGATCATCTTTCCAGCTTGGAGAGGTTTGCGTGAATATGTGTAGATATTTTTTAATTACCTAGGAGGGTTTTTAAAAATTTATTTAACAAAATGAAATGAAGATGTGTTAATAAAGACCAGTTGCTGTCAGATGCAACTGCTAATCAAATCACAGAATTATAGTCCATCTGCACTAGTACCAAGGCAAAGGTCACATAGTTCATATATGAATGCAACAGCCTCCTGCATGGGTAAAGGTAAGATCAGATGGTACAGGAAAATATGTATTCTTAATCCCTGTAACTATAAACTAGCACTCACTACAGTTTTCTGCTTATGGACCATGGCAACAAAAGCAATGTGATAAGGTGCAGAGGTATTTTATACTTGCTTCTCAGCAGTTTCTCTAGAGTATGACTTTAAAACTGTAGGAAGGTAGGTCAGGTTTCTCTGGGATGACTATTTTTTGCTAATCAATTAATTTATGGAATTATTGTAGTTTCTTAGAACAAGCATCAGTCCTCCCGAGTAAAGGCCTTCACTCTTCACTGGCTGCTACTAAACGTTTGGTTTTGTGGTGACATCACGCTCCTCCAAGTGAATACTTAGCTATTCTTTTAATTGGGCTCCCTGCCCTAGTCTCATTGCTAGTTATGATACACCATTGCTAAAATTCTTAAAGCCATCGGTCCTTTTCTTAACACAGTTTGGCAGCCAGCTGGACAATTTTCAAAATATATTAATTTTTCTCACCTGCTGTGCTTTCTGGCACCTCCTGCTTATCTCGCACAAGCTGCATGATATCTGACACCACAACCTGATGGTTTGTATCTTCTTCTTTCTCTTCATTAGACTGGTTGGCTGTTGCAAAACAGTTGCAGCTTCCAGTTTCTTTGCATGGGATCAACCTCCAATACCAGTAGTCAGACATGAAAATGCTCTAAGTTGATTTCTGAAATTTAGAAACAAACAGAAAATCATTTTCTGCAAGAAGAAAGAAAAAAACCTAGCTACTTGAAAGAAAAGGCTCAAATAACGTTAAGCTTGACAGTTACATACAGATTATCATATCTTCGATTTTATTTAAAGAAAAAAATACACAGTTTATAATAGCCATCTATGATATCATATGCAGTTCATAAAAGCCATCCATGGTATTGTACCCAAAATAAAAACTTCAGGAGTCCCCTGTAGTTTCTCAAAATGCTTATATCGTAGGTCAGGGAGCTAATCACAAAAAACCCCAAACAATATACAAATATCAAATTAGACATGATCTTAACAACTGCATAAAGGCAAAAAATATCAATATCACTGTATTTTCAGCAGAACAAGTCAATATTTATCTTAAAAGTACCCTCTGAAACCCAGTTTAACTAGGTGAAAGAACACCCCAGAACATGGACTGTCAAAAAGAGAAATAATGTAAGAATAAAAAAAAAATACCAATAAAGTAGAATAAGATGTTATGATTCCCATGATATGGGGGGCTGAAATTACAGTTTGAAATTTTCATAAACAGATTAACTGAAGGAAACCTTGACACTGGAAACATGGCAGGAAGAAGAGATGCTTTGGTTTCTGACACAGCGCCCAGGTCCTTTGGGGCTGCCCTCTTCCTGAGCAGAAGACAGGGGCAATGGTTCCCTTAACCTAGATAGAGCTAATTACCAGGCTTATTTGTGCTTACAGGTAAGAGAACAAGCGTGTTCTGAAACACCTGCAGGTTTCTCAGTTTACATATACAAATGCCAGAGAACCACAGTGTTTTTACTCTTTTACATAAATAAAAATCACCCCCTTCCTGAAATTACAACTAAATCACCATTAACTGTAAAAAATTTCTTCTACACAGGGAAGCAGCTTGAGCTTTCCAAATACTTAAAGTTGCTAACCAGTATTTGGGAATTCTGCAAAGTGCTAGCAAGGTATCATTTCTTCATGAAATTACACCACATGCAGAAACAGGTTTGTTCCCACTCTTTTCCAGAGGGCATGTGGGCAACAAAAAAAAATGGCCCAAACCTCCAAGCACAAGCTTTTCCAAGTCTATCTGGAAAACGCCAAGGCCAAGCAGGAGAGAAGTAGATCTCTCCAGGTAAATTTAATGCTTTTTGGATAAGGAAGAGATGCACGGTCTCCATTTATCCTACAAGCATCACATTCAAGTGTTTCTAGCATATCTGTTTCTACCTGCTGATTAGCTTGAGTAAAAGCATCACTCCAGAACATGCATATTAACGGTGATACATGTAGAGGTCTTCTACATTACATCTAAAGGTGACAGTTTTATAGACATGAAGGTAAATGCCATAAAAAGAAGCTTGCTTGATATAAAAGGGTTATCCATTTAAAAACAAACCAAAAAAAACCCCAAAACCAGCTCACATTATTTAGTACCAGATCTCCCAGGAATCACCTATGAAAGATTAAGTACTTGCTCTGTCATTTATTATATTACTTCTTCAACAGAAGAGAGGATTTCCAGATAAAACATTCTTCTTCAAATATTACTGCAAGGTGCATCTTCTTACCAGTTTAAAGATAGTAATTTTATTTTAGCCAACATACTGCCAGTTTCCTCAATTCTCCCTTTGGCTGTTCCCAGGCTTTTCAGGCTTTGCAACATTTGTCAGAGGACGGGTAATAGAGTTAAAAGCAAATCACTCAAGTTTTTCTATAGCTGCCAAACCCGACAGGTTCAGTGCATACATCCTCCTTGTCACACAGGTAGCAGCAAACAGTTACAGCTGTACTAAAGCACATGCTGCTTGTAAATAATGTATGTAGTACAGAGTATGTACTTTCAAGCTGCATCTGCCTCTGCAACCGTCTGGCATCCGCATGCAACGGATGGGCACAAGCGTGCACACACAGGTACCCAAGCAGCACGCACACAGAGGTCTTAACGAAAGAAGCATTTCATAGCACTTCCATAGATTTTTTTTGTTTTGGTTTTTTTTAGTTCTGTGGGAGCTGGGGGATTTCTTTCTACTACCCTTACACTTGAGACATTAAATAAATAGATCTTTACTGAGTGGCTTTAAGAAGAAAAGTTTAAAGTTTTCCTGTCCAGAATTTCTCATTTTTACCCCAAGAGCTGAGGCAGACAGGGAAGTCTCCTCTGAAGGAGACAAAAATCCCAGAAACTTCCAGTAGGTTTTCCCCTGCTCCTGTGCAAGGTGAACTGAAAAGCAGCTGGATCTATGCTTCAGTAGTCAGCAAATTACTCTAGGAATAAAATTTTAATTTATTGCCTTTCCTTAAGGAATGGAAACTCCTGAAGATCACCAGAAATAATTATATCCAAACATGCAGTTAGAGACACATATTTATGACCTTAATCCTACTTTAACTAATTAGTTTTCTGACCCACTCATCATCTTTATTTTGATTTTAAGAGCATTAACGTGAACTTGGTTTTTAAGCCAACAGCTCAGGGACTCAGAGGGTAAAGAAGTTGGAGAAAAAATATGGGAGGGCTGAGACATAATCACTACGTATATTTTTCATACTTTCATGAAGCGAGGCAGCTCACAGACATTCACAAAATTGACTTGACCGAGATTGACTATAAAAAGGAAAAAATCAAATTAAAAAAAAAGGGGGGGGGAACCTTATTCTTTTGTCTTAAGAGCTAATGTAAAAATGTTCCAAATAGTCAAAGCATCCTTGATGGATATATGTCCACTTGGATCACTGCATTGATACTGCAGCCACAGTTGGTTTTCCTTATTATTTCAAGACATCTAAAGATAAACTAATGCCCTCAACTAGCATAAAACTAGGCTGATGTACCAAGAAAAACAAAACAAGAATGAAACTTCCATTCGACATTTGCAAGTCTAAACAACTGCTCCTGAATTTCATTTTTTTATGCTAAAATCAATACTGCTTGTTGGGGTTTGTTCAGTTTGGGATGGGGGGGAGGGGCAGGCATTGTTCTTTGTGGGTTTTTTTAAACCAGATTGCAGACATCAAAGTTGGTGAAATACCCAAGGAAAAGCAAGGGCGTAATTTGGATCCATTTGTCAGGGCCTGAAGGCACTGGTAGACTTCACTGGCCCTGGCCAGCCTCAGCTGGGACCTCTACCCACAGGCCCAAGAGCTGCACATAAATTCAGTCTGAGGCCTTCAATCCCTGCGTGAGCTATGCCATTGTCATGCCTGTCTGCAGCCCTGTCCCCTGCGCAGGTCTGTGTCGCAGCCTGCTTTGAGTCCTGGCTCTGGATCCTTTTGCTTCTGACTGGACTCCCTGAAGGGACAAGGTTCATTGCTCACTGGGTCAGGGATGGCTGGTAGAACCTGTTACCAGTGCCCAGTTCTGGCGTTCAGCCCCTGCAAGCAGTGCCATGGTCGGTGAGTCTGTGCTGGGGCCACCCTCGGCTCCTGCCTCGGCCCCTCCTGTGCAGCAGCCCTGCTCTTGCTGCTCCCTGACAACGTTTATTAAATTTATCAAAATATAACTCTAATGGGGATACAGCAAAGCACACAGGAACATGGGGGACTTGGCAGAGTACATCTGACGAACGCAGTAGTTCCTTACCGCTGTATGAAACAGGCACAGATGTTACAGCTTTGGCATGTGCTCTAGGTTGGGGAGGAGGGGAGGTCTCCAAGAACGCAGTAGGTACAACGGGTCACTGTGAATTCACAGTCCCCATGTAAAAGCTCTGTTCTCCCCCTGTGATGCCAGTCACTTCCAGAGGGAATGTCAGGTAGGGGTCACCATCCCCTATTTACAACAAACAGTCGCCAGCTATTCTGGTATCAATTAGGTATGCTGCGTGCTTCGTCTGCAAGGTCTGACAGCACGCTAAATTGGATGAGATCTTAGCTTTGAAATTGTAATTACATATGGAGCCAATAAAGCATTAATATGCAATACTAAGAAGTAATATATAATATTATTACGTAGCACTCCACACCACTTCTTAATTAAGGTGCAATCGCTTTCTGAACCATTGCTTATGAAATTCAGACAAAAGAGCAGTTTTTGAAAGCAGGAGTCCTTCTGCTTCAATCACTCTGCACACACACTTCACTGAATTTACTTCAGTTTCCCACCCAAAAGCCCCCTTTAATTCAAGAACGGCACTGCAAAGGAAGTAGTTAATAATTATCTTCAAATGTAACCAGATTACATAAGGCATCCAGTGATCCCAGAAACTTAAATCCGTATTCTGCAACCACTTCACCACAGCAGTTAAACCTGACTCCTAGGGTCCCCGTTGCTCTGAGTCGATACATTATTACTAGATCTCTGTTGCTGCCACGCGGTGCAATTTCTTCAGCTATTTCCCAGGTTATACTAGGCATTATTTCTAGTTAGGTGCAACATAAGCATTTAAACGTATCTCACTTCTAAGACCATTTGTGCGATATTTTCAGATTATCCTATGAATTAACTCACTTGGCATTTAATCACTGCAGCATTTTACCATGCTTTCATCACTGCTCCATCTAGTCACTGGGAAAAAAAATTATTTACGTGGAGAAAACTGGTCCTAATTTAGCACCTACGAAGGTTTCAAACCCTTATTTTCTGTAAACATGATGACACTGTATTCCAATGCTCTCAAAGAAAAAACTGTTCAGTATGTTATCCAGCCTGAACAAGCAGGCTTAAACGTAGTAATTCACCACGCTCAGTATATCCGTAGAGATAGAGATAGTGGAGTCCGGCTGATGAGGTAAGAGCTCATCCATGTACCTCGCAGGTCTCTGCAGGAGAATCGGACCGAACTGGACACCAACGCCTGTATAGTACTAATTAACGTTTCTTTATTTTAGAATGGATTAAAAGACACTGAATCGTATTTAAACCTGTCAATATTGTTCTGATGAGAATCTTATTTTAAGTGCATGTATCTGGGCTGCAGCATTCTTTCCAATTTTCATGCTTTGCAATACTGGCCAGTCATTCTTCCCATTGCACTACACACCAGGAAAGTGCAAAATACATAAGACACACATACGTTATAGTCCAGGTTCCTCCCACCTAAATTCAGACATTAAACTGAGAGGTCTAAGTTAAGAACCTACTTGACCCACGTGCCTTCAGCACTCACTGGAGTAAGAGAGATGCGCGTCTCCTGAGGCTCATCAGCCCCTCGCATCGACTCGAGAGAGTCCAAGGCAATTGTGGATGAACCCGAGTTCGTATGATGAGAAGTCCCACTTTTGTATACGTTACCGATAGTGCCACAAAGAATGAGTTGTAATAAAAACAATAAAGCATTTTAGGATTTTAGTAAAGCCTATTAAGCTACTCAAGTTCTGCCTGTGGAGATATTGTATTTCTACTCTTGCCCCTCCCCCGGTCCTTTCACATTTTGTTCAGAAAGATGGAGGGGAAAAGCGGCAGCAACAAAGCCACAGACATTCTCATCTCTCTCTAGGGCATGTAGAATACCCTTACGTGTTTTAAACCAAAATCAATCTAAAGACTAAATTTTTTCTCATTTGGAGCTTTACTGTGATCAACACTTAACTTGAGTACCAAGTAGTCCTTCAAGATAAATGTTCTCATTTTTTATTTAAAAGCCTTCCACAAAGCATTAGAAATCATCAACAGACTATGTAGGAAATATTAATTTCAAAGAAACTGCAAGACTATTTAGCAAGAGCTAAACTGAGGCCTCTTCCAAGGAAGGAAAAAGAAAAAAAAAATCAAATGTGCTTCGTAAGAGAAATGCTTTCTTATTTATTCAACTTTTCATCCTATAGGGAGCCACTACCCTTTTGAGGAACACTTACAAGTTTAAATGAAGTCCCGCAGCTGTCTTCCTTCTTCCTTTTGGGGCAGCCACACAAGAAAAGTTTATCTTCTGTTAATTAACCCAGAATTGTGCAACATATTTTAAGACATCTAACAAAAAGAATAAAAAGGTAAACATACACACATCACAGAGGGTAGCTGAGTTCTCCCAAGACTTAGGCAACCTTCCCTACTGCCTGCCTACACCACCCTGCACGTAGGCACAACAATAGCTTCAAGTACTCAGCCAAAGTCTCTCTCCCTTTTCAGAGCTACAGGCCCAGTGCACACCAAGCTGCCCACAGACTGCCAGAGCAGAGCACGAGGGCATGGGAACAGCTTCTTGCAGGTATGAAATGAGGTATGGACAAAGTCAGAAGTTCTTCCTCCTCCTCCACCAGCTACAAGCATCCTAACCTGAGCCGCATCTCAAGTCCTTCAGAAATCTGGATCTTACACACACACTTTTTCTACTTTGGATCCACCACAGGAAAAAAACAGAGGCCCCTCAACTTTAATATGGTATTGGATTTGTCAAGTGGCTTGCTGTCCGTTTTGTACAATGCCTAATGTACACGCCTAATGGTGGGTGGAAGATCTTCCCTATCTTCAGTGAATATAACCAAAGAAAATCAGAGTCTAAGGAGTGTTAATGTAAATGTGAGAAAAGCACCATATTATAGAATTCTAGTTGCCTAGAGATCATTATTAGCAAAAGCATAATTTCCTTAGTCTTTAAAACTCCCACCAAACCACCTACATCCTGAAAACTGAGCTTTTGGAATTAGGTATCTAAATTTCTTCTCCTGCCCCCTCATACTGCCCACACACCCCAAAGTTTTCTTTCGCACTCATTTCTCCTTCCATCCATGAGAAATCAAATAATCATACTGGCCTGAACGTGGTGTCCTCTAAAATGGCATGGAGAGCAGTTTACATCTCTAAAACTGTTCACAGTCTGTATCGCTTTCCACTCGGACCACGTTTCAGAGATTCTTCTCAAGACCCGAGAATGACAAGCTAGGTTTCATTTTTAAATTAAGCCTGAAACACAATAGAAGCTGAAAGTGCTACGCAGCATTCTGTGGAGAATGAGGTGGTTACATGCTTGATCCCCTATTTTAAGGGGCTTATCAGCCCGATAGGCTTATCCCCGACCCCAGATTTATCAATCTCCCCTTACTCAAATTGTTCTCGTGATAAACCCAAACTCCCATCTCACCAATGCATTATTCTTGCACAAGACACTGCCACCAGCATGAAGACACTATGCAAATACCATTTGTTTAACTCAGAGGTACTCATGGCTAAGCATGCAGGAGTTAGGATTCTAACTCCTAGACTAATTCAGTTGAAAGAAGCAAAATATATGCTACCTTCTGAAGGTCAGTGAATACATGGCATGTTCTGTTTATTTTTGAATTTATTTATCACAGAAACAAGCATTAGAATATTAGCAGTTTCTCTTGAAATCAGAACTTGGAATGTCAAAGACCTTTCTCTGAAGAAACCTCCTAGGACAGTGTCTTTGTTCAGTGGCCATGTAACAGGAGTATGTGCTTTCCTCAGCTTAGAGGACACAGGTCTCCAAGAGATCACTTGGGTCACTTCATCCCACCGACTTGCTGACAAACATATAATAGGTGTCCAGTTTCAAAGGGCTCACAGAACATCTACTCCACAAGACCCTTCTCTTCCTCCTTCTCCCTCCCGACCCCAGCTTGTCACAGATCAAAAGCGTTTTGCAGTAACCCATAAAAAAAACTCAAGACTCGTAGCTTCAGTGTTCAGCCAATAACACGCACAGGGGGGAAAAAGCATGGCTGAGGTTTCCTAAGGCTCAAGAAACCCTCCCTACCACCTGTCTACTGAGATGGAGAGCACTGCCAATGTCCTGTGCCTGCAGAACTTGTTGAACAGAAGCGCAAGGTAAAGGAGACCCTTTAGGAAAGAAGAGGTAAGCTCTCTTCTGATCTACTCAGGATTTAAATTTCTCTTAAGTAACCATGCTGAATACTTCCTAATGAAGTTGTTATAGATTTACCCAGCAGGGTAATTTTGTTAGAAATAGCAATTGACAACAACTTTCATCTTGAAAGGAGCACTGTATTAAAAGTTTCAAGTAGATGTACATTTTAAGATGACTAAACCTGGTATCTATTTTGAAGTTCCTGCAAAGCCTCAACAGTGCACACAGGTGGCTGCCTTCAAGACTGATTTTACAGACATCTTTGTCATTAAAAAAAGCCTTTCCATGCAACTTCTGTAATTACTTTTGTATAGTCCAGTCCTGAATCAGTGAAGCACATCACTTCCGGAAGCCATCTGAAACACAGGAATTTCAAAGTTCAACAGAAAAAAGTGATGTGGATGTGGCCCAGACCTCCCTACAGAAGGGATAAGGACAGAAAAGAGGGTTGTGTGGTAGCAGCCAGGCCCAAAACACAAGAAATGATATCCAACATCAACAAGCGCTAAAAGAGTGCTCGATCCTCTACCCTACGACTGTGCCTTTATTAGGCATGTGCTCTAGCACCTTCATGAATTGGGGTCCAAATCAAATTTTTGCCTTTTCCCTCCTACCTACATGACAAGATGTGTAGAATAGTATTCCTTATTTTTCAATACGCTAACCAAACTTGCACTGGGTAAGTACATTTAATCAACAGAGACCCTGCTACTGAACATTACTTTGACTGTTCCACTCCCCAAACCAGAAAGGCTGTACGTGTACTAATAAAGTCCGAAAAGCATTTGAAGATTGTCATAAAGAGGCAAGCTATAGATCTTTTAGAAAATAAATTTGGTTTCTTTTTATTTGCTTCCTGAGCCTTTATTATTCATTCTCAGTCATTCTGAAATCACTAAATTGGACTGGCTTTAAAAATTAAATAAAGGGTTTGCAAGAGCAAATCTATTGCCAAGTCTATCAAGATAAAGTTTTATGTTCTTTTTTCAAGGTTTTCTGCTAAAAATATTTCTTAACAAATCTTTCTTTCTGGCTTTTGGATTGCACTAAACTCATAAGTGTCCTTCCTTTTGTAGATACAAAAAGAAACAGAAGTAAAAAAAAAAAAACAACCCAACAAATCTACAGACAACACAGCTGGCTAATTTATCTTGATAGTCCAGCCCCAGTAAAATACAAAGAGTAAATAAACACCGCAAGCGGTAAAAACATCCTATTTTACAGTCCGTGTGATTAACCATTGCGGGTAACACCAGTCAACAAACCCCGACATCTCAAACTTCTTCGTACCAGGGGACCGCTTTGTTTCTCTGATTCCGGGATGCTTAATTAAAATCCTACCAAACCAGCAGCAGAAGCCCTGCTCGGACCACCACAGCGCAGCGCAGGCTGCGGCGGGGCAGCCCCAGCCACCCCCTCGCCCCCCAGGGAAGAGAGGGCATCCCGTGGCGCCCACCACATTTGTTTATTGATTCGTTCATTTTCAGGCAGGTTACTCTACTTGCCTTTGTTTCGCTTCCTCCCCTAGCCCGGACCTATCGCCACCGAAACTGGGGAGGGAGGAGGCAAAAAAGAGAGAAAGAAAGAGAACCCCCCCCGATAAAACCCCCGGTGGCTGAGGATGAAGCCCCCCCGCCGGGGCGCGGTGAGGAAACCCCGGCCGCCGGCGACACGGGGCGCCGCCCCCACACGCTCG